GTATATCCTCTTCTCAAAAGTGTCTGTTCATTTCTTTGGCCCATTTATTGATTGGGTTATTTGTTTTTTTTGGTGTTAAGGTTTTTGAGTGTTTTATATATCCTAGAGATTAGTGCTCTATCTGATGTGGTTGTGGTAAAGATTTGTTTCCATTCTGTAGGCTCTCTGTTCACCTCTTTGATTATTTCTTTTGCCAAGAAGAAGCTTTGTAGTTCGAATCCATTCCATGTATTGATTTTTGGTTTTAATTCTTGAGCTACAGGATAATACAAGTAAGTCTGTAGCTAGTACTATCCCTCTTTCCCTTCTCTTCCAGCTTTTTTTTTTTTAAGAATAAGTTGAATAATGGTCAAGAGTCTCAGTTGAGAAGATTCTAACCAGTTAATGCCTAGTTAGACCTTAGATGACATTTAATTATAAAATCCCTGAATTTCTTTTTTTATTTATTTTTAAATTGTAGTTGGACAGAATACCTTTATTTTATTTCTTTATTTTTATGTGGTGCTAAGGATCGAACCTAGGTCATGCACATGCTAGGCAAGCACTCTACTGCTGAGCCACAACCCCAGACCCCAAATCCCTAAATTTCTATTCTTCTATTTCTCTGGATTCCTGCCCTCCTCAGTGATAAGAGGTGGTGGCTTTTGGTAAAAACCTCTGGAACATTCTCAAAATCTTCTGTGTTATGCTACTTCTATCAAAAAGCTCATGTGGGATTTTTCTTCATTCTTATTTGTTTTAGAACTCTCAGAATGACAAAATGTTTCTAATTCTTTGGATTAAAAAATGAAAATAAAACTAAGGCATCTTCCAGCTAATGTAACTAACCCAAACTCCTGCTGTGTTTCACTGAAGTCAAAATTGTAAGGCCTGGGCTGGGAATATAGCTCAGTCGGTAGATTTCCTGCCTCACATGCACAAGGCCCTGGGTTCAATCCCCAGCAACATGACCACAAACCCTGCATGCCACCAAAAAACTTACAAGACCTGAGAGTCTCAGGAACCTGAGGAACTGTGAGGGCTGTGACCCTTGATTTAGTACCTCTAATTATCAGTTGTGGATCTTTCAGATTCAGAGATGATGCAGATTCAGTGTGAGTGATAAGTTCCATTTGTATTCATGTTGTAACTTTCTTCCTTCCATTAGTAACATATTTATGCAGCTTTGTTGAATACTTGCCGTAGGCTAGGCACCATACTAATGGCATTACATGTATTAATTCGTTTAGTTGATCTAATCACCTAATGAAATGGGCAGCATTATTTTCACTTTGTAGACAAGGAAACTGAGGCATAGAGAGGTGGGGTATCTTGCCCAAGGCACACAAATAAATGACTATGTGCTAATGACCAGGATTCAAATAAGAGTGAGATAAGCTGATGTGCTGCTTAAAGAGCTGTAAAGCTCTATCATTATCAGGATGCAATTGTTAAGGGAAAACCATTACTATTGATTTTTCTTATTCTGATTACTCCACTTAACCATGTATAAATAATTTCCCAATGAACAGAACCTGTAAATCTAAGCAGTTCTTATTTACTGAGAACAAAGGCCTTCTATAATAGAACTTCTGAGAATACCATTTCAGATAACATCCACACCGTTTTTAAAACCCTCTCCTAACTCGCCTGCCCCTGAATAAAACCAGACATGTGCAGTTTAGTTGTTATATTGGTTTACTCATTTTTAATCTCTGCCTGCAGTGAACAAACAGTTATCATAAATTACAAATCTAAACCTTTATGAAAGAGAAATTAATTTTATTAATGTTCTAATATAAAGCTGCCATGGAGAAGGTGCCAGGGCTAAAACTGTACAGCATTTGTCAGCCATGATTTATAGTATCTTTAAAAATAGGTGGCATTATCTGAATTGGCCATCTATTCTTGGTTTTTAAAGTATAGAATGACTAACAATAAGGAATCAGGTGAGCTGAGACTCCTGGATGAAAAACAACAATATAACTTATCCATTCACGAGCACCTTTCTGCAGAAGATTGCAACGTCCTTTACAATCAAGGATTTATAAGCCTCATAAATTGTCAGCAGCTATGGGTGCTATCTGTTTAATTAAAATGTCAAGTTGGTGATTATGTAACTTTGTAAGGCAAGTGAAGGAGGAAGTGAGATGGCCTAGTTCCTGAGGTGAAGCTGTACACTTGAGCTGAATAAAGTGACCTTGGGCACCTGTCAAACAGAAGGCCAGGGGCCTCCTTGAAGACCCACAATATTATCAAAACAGCAATGAATATGACTCAGTTTCTAAAGGTTCCATTTGTATTCATGGCTTCACCATTTGGTGTATATTTGGGAAGGACGGGAGTAGGTTCAGTTTTAATTTTCCATTAGCAAAGGGCACTCTTTCCAATCCTGAAACATCTTCTCCCCAAATAAACAAACAACCATTACTCTAGGTTCTCAAATCCAGTGAGATCTGACTAAACTGGGCACTTTCAAGAGGTTCTCAAATCCAGTGAGATCCCGCTAAAACTGAGCACTTTCAAGATATGAGCTAGAAGCAATTACAGTCAACTCTAGAGTATTACATTTGGATGAAAGGAGACACAAATTCAGCCTCTTTAATTGCATAGACCACTCTTCTTCATTTTCTTTTAATTCTAGAATTTCTGTCCTTCCTCTGACTATATTTTCTTCACTTGTAAATGGATAATGACTGTGCTACGAATATGCTAGAGATGGCAATAAAATAATAGAAAGTACTGTCAATGGAGTTCTTATAAAATCAGAAAAAAAAATTCTAGTTTAAGTTGTTCATTTCGGAAATGCCAAATGAAATATGCCAGGTTTGAATTTGGAGATTTTTTACTACTTTCTGATAGCTCAAGATAATGTTTCTAGAACTAAAGCCATGAATTGAATAAATAATAATTCATCAGCTTTTCTGTAAAACTGTGTCTTATAGTTATTCCAAAAATATTTCAGCTACCCCAAAGCCTAAGATTTCAACATTCCCATCTTATATTATTTTGATTGTTACCACAAAACAGTGACTTTAAATTTTGAAGAATATATAACTACAATTGTTTTTTTTACAATCTGAATGAGTCAAATTTTAATTTTGTATGTCCCATTTTTATTTTTATAAATTTTATGTATTCATTGCTCCAGCCTCATGCTCAGTCTTAAAAACATCAAATGGTTCCCATTTTAAGGTAAAAACAAAAGTAGAAGAACAATTACAAAATACCTTTAGAAAGAAAAGTTGTAAACTTCAGTAGCTAGTCATGGATTCACTGACATTCATGAAAACAGAAGAAATATGCAAATACCAGGAACAACAAATATAGAGGGACTGAAATACCTCTATGCTCCCTCTACAAATTATGCTTAGAAACTCATAGAATTGGGCTGGAATTGTAGCTTAGTGGCAGAGCACTTGCCTCGCACATGTGAGGCCTTGGGTTCTATCCTCAACACCACAAAAAAAAAATAAATAAAAATAAAGATATGTGTCCATCTACAACAAAAGAAAGAAAGAAAGAAAGAAAGAAAGAAAGAAAGAAAGAAAGAAAGAAAGAAAGAAAGAAAGAAAAACTCATAGAACTACATTGTAGCAACAGATCACTTTTTCTACTGCTTCCTATGTTGTCAGGACATTGAAAGCTTAACCACATACCATAATACAAGAGAGAAGATGAATAGAGACACTAAAGGGTATGTGATTGAGGTAGATCTTGCAAGCAAAAATAAAGTACACAATCCCAAATGAAACTGACTATAGTTTAGGAAGTTGATGTGAATAAGATTCTTGTTTCTTGATGTACAGCAATGTGATCAGCGAGACACTAGTGTTCAGAAAACATTCTTTCTTCTTTTTGTTTCCTTTTCTCCATCCCTCTTTTCCTCCCCACCCTAGCTCCCTCTCCCCTTCCCTTCCTTTCCCTGTCAAAACTTGAAGACTAATATTAAGGCTGTCTCTGATTATTTTATAGAGAATATTATTCAACAGATATAATTATTAACATTATTTTACTAATTGAAAAAATAATAGTAACAGTAGAGATCATTTTATGGAGAGCTCTCAAATAAACCCTCTTGGTATAGTCTATGTATACTTTTAACATGTGGGAGGAAAATGAAGTTCATAATTCTGTGCAGAATATCTATTCATTTAAAAAGTATTATTTTACATGCCCATTTCTCCAGATAATGACACATTTAGATTTTAATATTGAAAGCTATATAATATCTTGACACTGGTTGAGATGTAACACAGTAGGCTAACAAAAATTAAAATTTTCTCACTCTTTTGGTTTCTAATTCTCTCCCTAAGCATAATTCTTCTCTTAACTAGAGCAGTAAATGGAAGCTCTGAATAAATTCCATACAGGTTTATGAAGCCACAATTTACTCAATTTTGAAAACTGAAAGATGAGAGTTGGGTTATACACCAACATGAAAACATTCAAGGAAACTTCAAACCCCTTAATTATGTGTATACTTTGCAAAACACTTAATGAGACTCATAAGTGAAATGTAGGAATGAGGAAACAAGAATTGGATTTTGGTCTGATAATCTGATTTGTGGCTTTAATGAGCTAGTACTAGTCTTGGGTTGTTGGTAGTAGTAGTTTCATTTCAATCTGGCTAGTTGACATTCGGATTGCCTTTAAGTTGTTTCCTCTACTTTTTTCCTTGAAATTCACACATGCTTTTTTAAAGAGTCCTGTGTATCTATGGACAAGCCATCACTAAAAGAGAAAGCCCAAGTCTCTATGTTACAACATTCACAGGAATTGCATTGCATTTTTAACTAGCTGCCGGGCATCAGCAGTAACACAGGTTGCATGATTTTACATCTTTAAATAAACTTTCATCTGGTAACATTATCTAGGTTTGTTTGGCTTTTCTCTAAGTAATGACTAAGGTTACTTTTCATTTCATTTTCCTACCTTTGGGACATGTCTTGCAGGTGAAAAAAGTTCCTCTTGTCTTTGGAAAGTTATTTTTCTGAAGACATTTTTCATCATGTTCCCAGGAGGAGATCCAAGAGCTGTCCACCAAGAATCTGCAGCCACCTTTGGGGGTCTTCCATGGATTCACTGTGACCAAGGAGACAAGCTGTTACCTAGCAACGTGGCCTTTTAGAGGTATTGTTACCAGTCTCTTAGAGTTCATCAGAGGGATTCTTGTGCTTCTACAGCAGTGTTAAAAGTGAACACTGTTTACAGGGAGTTGGCTAAACTGTCATTTAACTGAATCTTCCTTACAGCAATATAAATGATAGAAATAAACCTCCACAGCATCCCTGAAATGTGCACTGTTTTCAGTCCCATTATTTTCTGAATTGTTTGTATCTAGACCGTGTTTTGCTGAAGTGGTGTTTGTGCAATGTGTCCCTCAGTATTAGGTTTCTTGCTCCTCTTCTATACTTTTCAGAACTAGAAGAATGAGCAAAAAGGAAGCATCTGATTCTTGCTTGACCTTTGCTCAGATAAAACCCCTTTGAAGTAAAGGTAGGAAATTCTGCCTTGTTCACAAAAAAAAAATAAATAATACATTTTTTTTGTTCCAGAGCAAATATTATATTATATTTATAATCGTTTATTGGTCCAAGTTTGCTCAGAGTATCTACAAAACAGACAGAATTTTTTTTTAACTTCATGCACTGACAAAACAGAAGTACTGTAAATTTGAAACTTTCAATGTCCTTCTCCTCAAATGCAAAGTTTTAGTGTGCTTTTGTGGACTGAGAAATTGCTGTTGGCCAAAACTACAGTGAACTCTTTCAGTCTTTTCTTGTTTCATAGAACAAGATCTTGAGAAACCATTTTACTCAAAATGTAATCTTTAATCAAAAACATTTGTCATTTCTCAGAAAAATATCATGTTTTTCTTTTCATTCTCTTTTTCCTGTACAATAGTATCCATCTATGGACACAAATGACTCAGTTATCTTATGAGTATGTTTCATAGAGAGATTGAAAAAAGAGAAATTTCTCTTCATATTAAGTTTCTGTCAGAACATCAATTTTATATACTAATGCTCCAGGCTAAAATTTAGCATAAAAATCTCCTGTGCTAAAAAATGTATATATAAAATTTAACTTATTTTCCAAAGATCCACAAATTGATTTGTTCCTATCCAAGTTAGTATCATTTTTTAAAACTGCCAAAATTTTAAAATAGTAAGTCTAAATTTTCTGTGTATGTTCCCTATGCTACAGGCAGAGATGACAAATGTCAGACAATTCCTTAATTTTATCTTTTCTCAGTGTCCTAGGAACTTCCCAAGTTCAAAAATTCTAGGCCAAGATTATACAAAAATGAATAAGATACACAAATCTCAAGTGGCCTTATCTTATCATTTTCACTCTGTAGCCCACAGCAACTGCTACAAATCCCCACTTGCTTCAAATGGAAGCTGTGTGACCTCATAGTGGCTCAACTCTGACTTTGCTCAGAATCATGTGGGATGCATTTTTAAAAATCCAGTGACTAGGTCTTTTCTCAACCAAATAAATAAAACTGTCAGAAGTGAGGAGAGTCCAGCCATTGTCTACAGTCAGCTCCTCCACTCACTTGCACCTTCGTCACTACGTGGTTCAAGGAATATGCACCTCCATGATGGCTGGTCTCACTCTACAGTATACAACTCCTCACCTTGAGGTCTTGTCTGGAAACCTCACTGGAGTCCAGATCCATTCTCAGTGTCCTCAGTCTTCCAGATGACTTTCATACCTATTCCATTTTCTTCATCTTCCCTATTTTTTATCCCTATCCTATTCTCACCTAGTAAACAAAAAGAATTTCCACAAAGTATTTTGCCATCCATTTATCCACCTATTCTCATCTACCTGACCACTTACTGTTTCCCCTCTTTAACAAGTATGTCTAATCATTACTTTATCTTTGTGACTAGATCCTACCCCATCATCTCTAACTCAAACTATCAATCCAGAAATTTTCTGTCTCTACATTATCAATTTCTACTTTCTATTGGATCATTTCCACAAGGATATAGATGTGATGTATTTTTTTCCATTTAAAGCAAAAACTCTCTTTAGCTCTTCTCCCTGAAGACAGCTGAAGCTTCTACCCCAATGGATTACTTTACACTTATTACAGCATGTAGGAAAAGCATTAAAATTGTTGTCTATGGCTGCTGCCTCCAATTCTCTTCTTGATCTTTCTTGAACTAACTCAAATGTTTTCACTCTACTACTCCATTGAAGGTACTTCTGAGAGACTAAATCCAATGGTCAATTCCTAGTCCTTATTTTCTTGACCTACCTGTTGCACCTGAAACACACAGTTACTCTCTCCTCCCAGCATGCTTTTTATTTGACTTCCAGGACTCCACACTCCACCAGTTTTCTTTTGACTTCATAGCCTCTTTTTCAGTGGCCTACTCCAAACCATAGTCTCTTAACACCTGTATGCCTAGAGCTCAATCTTTTGACTTCTTTCTCTCTTAACTCACTCCATTGATGATCTTATCCAGTCTCACAGCTTTAAAAACCATCTATATGCTAATGACATGACTCCAAAATTTATAACTCCAGCCTAGACCTCTCTCTCTTTATCTTCTCTCTCACTCATCCCAGATTCATATATTCACCTGCCCACTTGAAATTCCTCTGGGATGTCATATACGTATCTCAACCTAACATTTCAGAAGTCAAATTCTAAAATTCCTGTCCACATCAGCTGCTTTCATTTTTTTCCATCTATTCAAAACAAAAATCACAGAATCCTCCACAACTATTCTTTGTCCCAAAGCCTACTGCATTCCTCATGAAATCCTATGAGGTGTCCCTTCACAGTATGTTCAGAAGGAGACCCACTCACCCCTCCCTGGCTACCAGCCTGAGATGCAACCCCACACTTTTGAATGTCATTGCAACCATGGCAACAGCTGTTGTACTGGGCTCAAACTTCAGGCCATCCCTCTCTGTAGTCTGTTCTCAAACACAGCACTCATAATGATTCTGTTAAAATACAGTCACTCATCTGATCAAAACACTTCCATGATTACCCATCTCTCAAAGAATAGCATCCTTATAATGGATTACAAGGCAACCATTTATCTGATTTTAAAAAAACAATATCTCAAAATCATATTACCTTTTTCATTGTCCATAAAACAATCAATTTATTCAGTTAAAAATGACTGAAGTTCTTTAACAGCTTCCAAGTTGACTAATATCAGTTAAGGATGACCTAAAACTATGAACAGAAATATTAAATTCACTCTAAACCTTAAAAGTTGTCAAGCAAACCAAAGGACTACAGGGAAAAGACTGCAAAGTATGCAGGATGCAAAGGCACAGGTGTCCTATAAAGGGGCCATGTCTGAAACACAGAGCTAATGGAAAGAAAAAAAGAAAGTAAAGGGTGAGAAGGAAACATCACCTTACCCAGCAAAGATGAAACAAAGTTGCAGATAGATGGAATTAGGGTTGCTGATATAGTTTGAATCTAAAAATGCCCCTGAAAAGTTCATATGTTAAAGATTTGGTGTCCAGCCTATGGCATTATGGGATGGGGAAACTTTAACACTGAGGCCTAGTGGGAGGTCTTTCAGCCATTGTGGGGGTGCCATTTAAAGAAACACTTGGATCCCTGACTACTTTCTCTCTCTCTCTCTCTTTCACTTTTCCACCAGGAGCTAAGTGGGCTTCCTTAAAGATGTGCTCCTGCCATGCTGTGCTGACTCACCACAGGCCCCAAAGCAATGGAACCTATGACCATGGATTAAAACCCCTAAAACCGGGAGCCAAAATAAACTTTTCCTCTTTATAAATTTATTGTCACAAATATTTTGTTATATAACAGAAATTGACCAACACAGTTACCAACAGTTTAAGATTGGAAGATTTCCCTTGGTTTTCTAGATAAGTCCAAAGCAATCAAAGTGTCCTTAAATATATATATATTTAAGGACATACATACACTTACATATACATATATATATATATAATATTAAATATATAAAAGAAGAGAAAGAAGAATCAGTGTCAGAGTGATGCAATGGGAGAAAGACTCAACTGGCCACTGCAGGCTTCGTGATTGTAGGAGACCATGAGCCAAGGAATGTAGCTAGAAACTGCAAAGGCAAAAGAAAATTGATTCTCTTCTAGAACCTCTGGAAGATAGACTTGTCATCTACTTGATTTTGGCCAAGAAAAACCCAATTCTGAGTTTTGACCTCCAGAATTGTAATATAATAATGTTTTAAGCAGCTAACATAGTGATCATTTGTTTCAAGCAGCCATAGGAAAATAATGCATCTCCCCACACAATTTCTTATTGAACCAGTTAAAAGCAAAACCCAAAAAACTCTGCTAAAGTATTTGACAGAAGAAGGCATCATTAGATTAGGATTCTATAAAATGGTTGTTACAAATAAAGCTGATGGAACATATATCTCTGCCACAGTCTGGCTGGGCACAATTCAGGAGCCACTTGTCAAAAGAAACGAACTTTATTTTTAGAACCACACACACCAAACAAAACAGCTCCTCAGGAAAAACCCTCAGAGCCCAACTACCACCACCGGCTTCCCACAAGCCTCTCACACCAACACACAAGCCTCTCCCACTCCCACAATCCTCCTGCTCTTGAGGCCAATTGGCTGGGCCGCATGGGCGGAGCCACAGAAGTCCCCCAATGAGCAGCTCCGTGGTCTGAAAGGGCAGGGAAACAGCCCAATGAACATCACCGCAGAGGAGCCAATTAGCTAGATGTTGCTGGGGCCAATGTGAGCCAATCATCAGCCAGCAGCTGGAAGTTTGCTGGCAGCTGGAAGTTTGCTGGGGCCCCTTCGGCTATGGCTCTCAACACATCTCTGTCTTTATATAGACATATGCTTTTCCCTGCTTTCTGGTGAATATGTAGGAGTGGAATGAGAGGGGCATATGGGGGCTACATGGGAACTGCCAAACTGTTTCCCAAAGTGACTGAATGATTTTTACATTCCCACCTGAAGTAAAAGAGAGAACAGAATATGTTGATATTCAGTTGTTACAGCAATATTGGCTTAATTTACCCCTTTGCAATAGATGCATTGTACCTTTATAGAAAACTAATTGATCATAAGTGTATAGACCTATCTTCTAAACTTTTCATTATGTTCCACATTGAAACAATATTAGGCTTCTATAAAAATGAATAAAAATAAGGTATACAAGTCTGTATAGAACTACAACAAAAAATAAAATAAAATAAATCAGAAAATGAAATGTCACACATAACTGCTAAGAAAATTTCTTATTCCCAGAAAACAAGTATAT